CAGCCCTCCCTCACTCCCTCCCTCCCTCCCTCCCTCCCTCCCTCCGTGCCTCCCTCCCTCCCAGCTCAATGTCCCTCCTGACTTAAGAAAAACAACTGAAACCTCTACATTGGTTTCACCTTTTGGGTCTACCATTAAAAGCCCAATGGCAGTGCCAAGCTTAACACTCACATTTTCTATTCCTCCCTTCGCTCAGCACCTTCACTGCTTTCATGCAAGAATGAGCACAGTCCCACAAACAGAAGAGCCTTCTACAGGACTACCCAGTAAGCAGCACTCGGCCTCAGGCAGGAGCAGTGTTAGCTCATCAGTTCTTCACCTAGAGTTTCTGCTAGGTTCCTGTTTACATGTTAAAATGAAGATCCTAGCCTTGTCTACTTGGTAGCAGTTCAAGATGTATGTACTCCATCTGGTCTTCCTGAATGTCTGTGGAAGCAGTTCTAGTTTTTTCCTCTAATTAAGTCCACCTAGTTTTCAAGTGGAACTGAATAATGCATATTGTTTTGCATGTGCCTTTTTTCTTTCAGTGCGTTGTCTGGAGATTTATCCCTGTGGCTTGTTCACTGGTGAGTTGTGTCACACTGTCTGACTACAGTATTCAACTATTTATCTGCTTAGTGGTCCTTGTCTGCTATTTTGGCTACTATGAATCAAACTGCCATGATCATTTTTTGTACATCTTATTTAATGGATACCGGTTTAATTTTTCCTTGACTAAATATGCAGCAGGGTAACTGGACTGTTGAACTTTATTTAAAACCAAAACTAAAATGGCCAAAGTTTACTTTTACAAAGTGAACTGAAGCTCTGGCTACCCTGGAACTTGCTCTGTAGACCAGGCTTGAATTCACAGAGATCCACCAGCCTCTGCCTCTATAGTGTGAGATTAAAGGCTTGCATGCCTAGCCCTCTGGAGCATTTGCTGTCATGGACCTCTTTAATAGCAGCTATTCTCTTGGGAGTGTAGTATGTATCACCATGGCTTTTAAACTTGCATTTCCTTAATGTTAGGGATACCTTTTCCCATGTTTATCACTCATTTGTGTACTTTTTTTCTTGTAAAATGTTAACTATAGTCTTACCATAAAAAAGTTACCAAACTGTAAAACTTCATTATACATTTTAGATACAGTTCCTTTGTTAGATAAGTATCTGGAAATATTCTATTCTCAATCTCTTCCCTGCCCATTCATTTTCTCATCATGTGTCCTGGGCTGGCCTTGGACCTGTGATTCCTCTTGCCTTGGCCTCTGAAGCATCAGTATTAGAGATATGCACCATATGCCTGCCTATAATTCCCATGGCATTCTTCAGCACAAATTTTTCATTGTGGTGAAGAGAAATCATCATGTCTGCCTTTTGTGGATACTGCCTTCAGTGCCCTAAGAGACTGCATTGGGCTGGGGCTGAAGTTCAGTAGAGCATTTACCTATCATGGAGGAGACCTTGGAGTTGCATCCCCCCCAAACTGTGAGCAAAAACACAAGAACCACACCATACCACACCAAACCAAATGACTCTGCCTCCCCCCTAGATTCTGAGGATATCTGATACTATTTTCAACTCGGAAGTTTAACTATTTTTGTGTCTGGCTAATTTTTTATACACACCAGTTGTTCTAGCACAATTTTGTTAATTAAAAAGTTTTTTGCCTTGGAGCTTTTAAGGAAAAGTAAGTGAATGCAAAGTATGTGCTCTGTCGTTTTCCACTGACTGACCCCCATGTTAGTACCACAGACCTAAGGTGCACTGAGTCCTGATGTCAGCTGCTGCCTCAGCCAGCTTTGCTTCTGTTTCTCAAGACTCACATGTTCCAGCTCTCTACTTTGACATGTATACTTAATTATTTTTAATTTTTAAAATTAAACCTTCTTTTTGCTGTATTGGGGATCAGAACTCAGAGCTTTGTGCATGGTAGGTAACCCACACATACATTTCAAAATCATTTTGTCAGTTTCTATAAAAATATCTGCTTGTCATTTGCAACTTGAGGTGGTTTGTCTTGACACATTCAAACTCTATCAACATTCTGTATCTCTACTTATTTAGACTTTCTTGTGTTTTATCAGCAACACTTTCTTTGCTTTTTAAAAAGCTTCATTTACGAGTGTTTTGCCTGTATATTTGTATGTGTACCACACGGCTGCTTGGTGCCCATGGAGGTCAGAAGGGGTTGAATCCCCTGGAACTGGAGTTATAGATGGTTGTGAACCATCAAGTGGTTGCTGGAACTAATCCCTAGTCCTCTGCAAGAGTAACACGTGTTCTTAATGCTGAGTCAGCTTTCCAGATCCAACAGCAACACTTTGAGGTTTCAGGGCAAGGTTTCTGTTAAACTTACTCAATCCTGGTGTTCTAAGTGGAACTAACTGCTTCTACCACAGGAATCTACTTCATTCCTTCATACTAACCTTCTATCTGGGGCTCACCTTAGTCTCACTTGTCTGAATGCACTGTGCTTTTGTTGATGGTTCCTTGTTTTGTGGAGTTGTGTCAGTTGGAGATAAAAGCCAGATTTGACTTCCATTCTAACCTTTTCACGTATGTTTTTATTTATTTTTCTCTTCTTGAATGGGTTATCACTGGAATGTCTAGCAAGATGCTGAACACAAGAGTTAAAAACATACCTCCTTGCCTTGCTCCTGATTCTGTGGGGAAGGCCCTCAGGATCCCTCACCTCTCAAGCAAGATGCTAGGTCTGCCTTTTAGTTTCTTGCTGCTGTACTGAACTCGGAGTCTGATGCAGTTTAGCATGTGAGCTCCTGAGCTATGCTCCAGCCTTTCTAAGCTTCTGTAAATGCTCTTTATCAGAATGAAGACATTGCTTTCCTACTTCACTAACTTTTAACAATGACTCATTTGGTTAAGTGCCTTGTGTATACTGACATGATTAGCTGGGCATGGTGTGCATGCGTTTGGATCTGTGGCATTTGGAGGTGGAGGCAGGAGGATTAGGAGTTCATAGCCAGGCTGGGTGTTACATAAGAGCTGTCTCAAAAAGCCAAAGGTCAATACAGAAACAGCATATGTACACATGGCCTCTTCTACTCTGTCACTGTCATTTGTTGGTCTTACCTTCGGAACTCACTGGTATTTATGTCTTGACCTCATTCTGCACTTTACATAGGGATTGGTTTGCCTTTTCTGGTAAGTGCTTCTACATTTTGGCTCATGAGAATAGGACTAAAATTTACTTCTTGGCAGGTCTTTCCCAGGTTTTAGTTACCAGGAACACTCTGGGCTTGTTTTCTTTTGTCTTGTGTTTCTGAAGGGCTTGTAGAAGTTTGGCACTACCCCCTTTTTAATCCAGTGAATCCATCTGCACTTGAATGTCTCTTCATGGAAAGAGTTTGGGACAGTGATTTCTAGGCTTCTGATAGAGGCTGTTCATTGTTAGATGCCATGTCTTGTTAGTTTTGTTTAAGAAATGAGTGCATTTCATCTGAACCCACATGAACTGCGTCAGAGCACTCCATGTCTGGACCTGGCTATCTGTAGCATCTGTGGCACTATCTCCTTTGAGTCAAAGTATTGTTAATGTACCTTCCTTCACTTCTAGATTATTTGTTAATACTGGTGAAAGTTTATCACAGGCTTCAGCACTTGCTCTCTTGTAGACTCTACAAGAGCAGTGGTTCTCAGCCTTCCTAATGCTTCCTTCCTAATGCTGTGACCCTTTAATACAGTTCCTCATGCTGTAATAACCCTCAACCATAAAATTATTTTGTTGCTACTTCACAACTGTACTTCTGCTACTGTTATAAATTATAATGTAAACATCTGATATGCAGGATATCTGATATGCGACCCCAGGTTGAGAACTATTGTGAGAATCTAGATTTGGTTTGACCACCCAAGTGGTTCTAAGGGATGTGAAGCTCTCTTTTGGCCTTCATGGGTAGTTTATGCATGTGGTACATGGAAAATACGTGGACAAAACACCCATACACATAAAATAAAAACTGTTCTCTCAGAAGTTATTGTGTAAATAAGTAATTTGAAAAACACCATAAAAGGATGTTTTGCCTGAGTGTATGAGTGTGCAGTACTGTAATTCCTGTTGCTTATAGAGATAAGAAGAGGGTCCTAGAGGCCTTGAAACTATAGTTACAGAGCGTTGTGAGCTATCATGTGGATTCTGGGAATTGGACCTGGGTCCAGTGTGACATA